AATTAGGGCTTAAACCGAATCTTCAAAGACCTCAAATCGGCCCTAACTGAGGCTTTCCTGACCTAGAAAAACCGTTTATTCTATATGTAGCAGAAAAATAAGGGATTGCCTTAGGAGTCTAAAAGCTAGGCAAGATTCCTAGGCCAGTGGCTTACTTCTCAAAACAATTAGACTCTGTGGCAACTGGATGGCCGGGCTGCCCGCAGGCAGTAGAGGCACCACCTTGTTAACGGAGGAAGTCACTAATCTAACTCTAGGCCAGCCTTTAAAAGTCCAAACTCAATATCAGGCTCAAACTGTACTTGAAGAAAAGAAAAAAAAAAACAGAGAACAGAGAAATAACAGAACAGAGAGAGAACCGAGAGTAGAGAAAGAAGAAAGAACAGAGAGCGTAACTGCTTACGTGAGCCCCGTGGGTTGAGGCGCTCACCTCCTGATGGAGCTGGGCCCTAGATTCCTCCATCAAAAATGTTTCACTGTCTGCATTCTACCCAGACCCAACGTCCATGGAATCACTGTCAGTACCAATCTATATGGGACCTTAGTCACCTCCTAAGACAAAAGGGTTATTTTATAGTCAGAAAATGGGTTGACTGGCCTGGCCAGGCATGGCTCATTGGTTGAGCCTCGACCTAGGATCCAGGAGATCACAGTTCAATTCCCAGTCAGGGCACAGGCCCGGGTTGCAGCTGGCTCCCCAGCAGGGGGCGTGCAGGAGGCAGCTGATCAATGACTCTCTCATTGATGATTCTATCTCTCTCTCCTCTCCTTTCCTCTCTCTGAAATCAGTAAAGATCGTTTTATTAAAGTGGGGTGATTTGTAGCCCCAAAATTTGTGTTCCCCAGAATATGTGAATGGTGAATGGAACCTTCATTGGAAATAGGGGTTTGCAGATGTGATAAAGTGAAGGATCAGAGATGAGGTCATTTCTGATTAGGGTAGCTCTCAACCCAATGATGATGTCCTTATAAGAGACAGAACAGGAGACAGACACTGAAAAGAAACCACATGGGAACAGAGGCAGGGAGGTCTGGAGCCCCCAGCGCAGGGAGCAGCAGGAAGGATGGTTTTCACTTCCTCCTCTTGCTTTCCTCCTGGTCTCTCTTCTCCCCTCCTTCTCTCTGTTTTCTGCCTTCTCTCCATTCCCTCCCTTTTCTGCTTTCTCTTAATTCTCTACTTGTTCTCTCTGATTTTAGAGAGAGAGAAACATGGACTCATTGCTCAAATCATCCATGCATTCACTGGTTGCTCCTTTTCCCTGACCTGGGATCACATCTGCAACCCTGGCTCATGGGGACAATGCTTCAGTCAACTGAGCCTCCCGCCAGGGCTCACGTGGAGACTGCAGCAGAGAAAAGCTTGCTATCTCCATGCAAATGTTATTTTCAATATACACACTAGATGGAAGCAGAGAATAACATTTTATGATGACATACAATCAGTGGTTAGTTTCCACAGGATATGGCAGCAAAAAGAGCTTTTCCGAGTGAACTACACACAGGTGTTACTCCCAAAATGCACACTAGATGGCAGCAGAAAAGCTTTTCCTAGGTGTTCACAATAGGCACACAAAACCAAGTGTGCTTGCTCCCGTGTCTCCTGGCACTCACACCATTTCCCCTCTCACCTCAGATGCAGCACCTCACAGCTCTGCCAAGACTGGTCAAATGCCCGGCCGGGCCTGGCTCAGCAGCTGAGCATCAACCTTGGATCCAGGAGATCAAAGTTCAATTCCCGTTCAGGGGGCGTGCCCGGGTTGCAGCTGGATCCCCAGCAGGGGGCGTGCAGGGGGCAGCCCAGCAATGACTCTCATCACTGATGTTTCTATCTCTCTCTCCCTCTCCCTCCCTCCTTCTCTCTGAAATCAATAAAAATATTTTTTTTTAAAAAGAAGGCTGGTCAAATGTTGTTGAAGGGGAACTGGACCTTCACACTGTCTTATAAACATCTGCTAAAATGAATCCAACAGACGTTCTCACTCATAGACACAAGATCCATGTAAATTTATGTCCACCATAGTATTTTTTAAACTAAAAGGCTGGAGCCCTGGCAGGTTTGGCTCAGTGGTTAGAGCCTCGGCCCGTGGACAGAAGGGTCCCTGGTTCAATTCCAGCCAAGGACATGTAAAGTGGTACCCCAGTTTTCGAAGGTCTCCATTGACGAACATTTCAGTTCACGAATGCTGTAAACTCGGAGGTAAGTGCTTCGGTTTTCGAACCCACCTCAGAAGTCAAACATGCCACAGGGCTTCCACTGAGGGCAAGATCCTGAGGCCCAGCTGTTGGCTGTTGATCCCTCTGTTTTTGAACATTTCAGAACTCGAAGTCTTCCAAAATGGATTATATTCGAGCCTCGGTTGAAGGCTGGATCCTCAGGGCATGTGGGAGAGGCAGCCAATCCATGTGTCTCTCTCACATCGATGTTTCTCTCTCTCCTTCCACTCTCTCTGAAAAGCAATGAAAAATATATCCTCAGGTGAGGATTTTAAAAAAAAGGCTGGAAATAACCTCAATTGTCCATTTGGTAGAAATCTGGTTAAATATATGATAGTATATGCAATGGCAAATCCTGCCACTTCTGTAAAGAAAGGAAAAGAAAGACTGATTGCTATGGACTGAACTCTAAGGTGCATTGCTGAGTGGAAAGAACAAAGTCCAGGACAGTTTGTGTGTTCTGCAAGGCAGGTGTGACTCAAATGTATACTAGAGAGTGATGAATATAAGTCTACTTATATTGCCATGCCAACATATAGGCCAGGGTTCAGGGCCGAGCTACAATTCAGGGGAGAGGAAAGACACTATGGTAGTTCTACATCCACACCTGGCAATAAGGGGAGTTCTTTTGGGTAAGTAATGGGGAGTTTATATGGAAAAGGCATTTTAAGCATTTAAAAATATATGAAAAGAGTAACACACATGTATGATCTTCTTAAAAGCAGACAGGAAAAAAAGTAGGTAATAATGGAGTATAGCACGTAGAGCGCTCCCATCTTCCACTCTTACAATCACTACTTTGAAGATAAGCAGGAGTGGCAAAATTTGGTAGAAATAATGACCCCTCCCCCTCCCCTGGCTCTTTGTAAACTTTGTGGTTTTTTTTTTAAAATATATCTTTATTGATTTCAGAGAGAGGAAGAGAGAGGGAGAGAGAGATAGAAACATCAATGATGAGTCATTGGTTGAGCCCACAACCCGGGCATGTGCCCTGACCGGGAATCGAACCCCAATCGCCTGGATCCTAGGTCGACGCTCAACCGCTGAGCCACACCCGGCCGGGCTCTTTGTAAAGTTTGTAAAAGGTTTCCACCCATAAAAATTCCAGGGACTAGTTAACCAAGAAGGTTAATGAACACTTATCTTAGCTTCTCTCCGCTGCTTTGCTAGTCCCCCACGTGCCCCCTTAGCCAAACAGAATGTAGTTTTTGCCTTTATAGTCTCCCTGTGAAGACAGTTCAGGGCTGCGAGTTTGTTTAGGACAGGAGTCCACTCGCAGTCACTGGCTAATAAATCTCCAAACAATCAATTTGGTCTCTGTGTAAATTAGTCTTGCGTAAGACGGGTATAACAGTAAGAAAAAATACTCACTTTCCTCCCCAGAGGAAGCCGCTGGTCTCATTGCCCGATTATCGGGACCTATGTGCTCCAGGTGGCTTTTCCATTCTGAGTTGGGGTGTCTTTGCACCATCTACACCTGTTCCTGCCCACTTCTCCTTGTGAACAAATGGCCAGAGGCAAAGGTTTCCTATGTGGAGGGGGGATCTCTGTATTTGAGTGAAGCCCAGGCCTGGCCCGTTGGAGAACTTGTCAGTGGCTTATGGCTGTTTAGTCTGCCTTCACTGAGGGGCTGCTTCTCTGTCTCTGCATCACCGTTATCCTTTCTTCCTCTGGAAGATGGGCCTGGGCAAGATGAGGATCTAGAAATGCCATAATCCTAGATCAGCAAGGAGAAGACACGAGTAACAGAATGGAAACCCATAAGGAACGGGCACATGGACAGAGAATGTGGTAGATTGCCAGCCCCTGGACTTGCTGTATCTGGACTTGCTGTGTGGTCTTTATGAACTGCCCAACCTCTCCACCCAATCTTATCCAGTCTGTAAATTGAGAGACTTGCTCTATTTATATATATATATATGTCTTTATTGATTTCAGAGAGAGAAAAGAAGAGGGAGAGAGATAGAAACATCATTGATGAGAGAGTTGTCATTGATCGGCTGCCTCCTACACACCCGTCTGGGGATCTGCCTGCAACCCAGGCATGTGCCCTGACCGGGAATCAAACCACGATCTCCTGGATCCTAGGTCCATGCTCAACCACTGTGCCATGCCTGGCTGAGCTATTTTTTTTTTTCTTCATTGCTTTTACAGAGAGAGTGGAGGGGGGGAGAGAGAGAAACATCAATGTGAGAGAGAGAAATGTCGATGTGAGAGAGAAACGTCAATGTGAGACACATTAATTGGTTGCCTCCTGCATGCAGCCAGGGCCAGGGACCAAGCCTGCAAGGGAAGTACAAGCTCTTGGCCAGAATCAAACCCAGGACCCTTCAGTCTGTGAGCCAACATGCTAATCACTGAGCCAAACTGGACCGGGTTTTTTTGTGTGTTTTTTTCTTTTTTTTTCTTTTGATTTGAGAAAAAGAGTAAGGGAGAGATGGAAGGGGTGGTGAGAGAAAGAGAAACATCGATTTGTTGTCCCACTTATTTATGCATTCATTGGTTGATTCTTGTATGTGCGCTGACCAGGGATCAAACCCACAACCTTGGTTATTGGAAGAAGGCTCTAACCAACTGAGCTACCCAGGGCAACAGCCCAGGGCAACAGCCTTACTCTTTTTATAAATATTTTTATTGATTTTTAGAGAGAAAGGAAGGGAGAGGGAGGGAGAGAAACATCGATGTGACAGCAAAACACCAATTGGCTTCCTCAGCATCCCACCAGGGATGGAGCCCGCAACCTCCAGGTGCACGGAACTATGCCCAACCAACCAAGCCACACCAGCCAGGGTGCCTTGCTCCTTTAATGCCTATTAGTAATCATTTTCAAAACAAAATATAGTCCATAACAAACTCCCAGACTAGGAACTTTTCTGTAGAGGCTCATGTGGTATCATCCATTGTACTGATTCCCAAAACAGATGCTGGTATGTAACAGAGGTGAGGACAGAAGTGGCCACTAGGATTATACAAAAAAGTTCTCCAGCTTCTTGTGAGCCAGTCAAGCAGGGTTCTGAGCTTTGGGTTGTATCCTTCCAACCTGCGGAAGAAACAAAGTTCAGACACTACCACTAGGAGATCCCATAGCAACCCTGTGGGATGTGGATTGTTACCCCATTTTACAGATTAAGAAAATGAAGCTGAGCCACTGACTGAAGTACAGGAGGGACTTGAGTCCAATTCTTCTGACTCCAAGTCGAGTGTTTTTTAACCGCACCATGCTTCCTCATGATTCCTCCTAGATTGCCTTGGACCACAAAGTGTCCTCTGCAATTCTGGACTGTCCAGTTGGCTTTAATGTGGAGCTACAGTCAGAATGCCAAGAAGCCCAGCAGGCACCCATCCTCCCCCTCCCTTGGGACCAATGGCAACATTGTTATTGGACCACGGGTGGAAGCTTGGGTGCAGTATGTGGTAATGGGGAACGTGGGGGTGCTCTCCATGCCTTATTTTCTGTGGGAAGTATAATTATACCTACTTCACACATTCTGTGGGGATTAAATGAGATAATTCATATGAAACCACTGGTAAGCCACTGTATACACAAGAAATCTTCAATAAATGTTGAGTCCCTACTTTCCATTCCCTAAGTGGTCTGATAGAAATCAATTCAGCCACCATGCTCAGGAGCACCAGCAGCAGCTTAAGATCGCCTGTGTTCTAGAATGATTCTCAATTACTTGCTAACTTTAAAAAGTCATTCAGACACACTAATCGTCCCTTCTCTGATTCCCCCATCCCCACAAACACACTTGGAAAGGAGAGGTGTCCTGTGCGTGACTCACAGCTGGGGAACTAGCCTGGGGATGGCCCTAATTTGAAACTCGAGCTCACCAGTAAGAGTCAAACACATAATATGACCTTGGGTTAGACCCTCACTTTCCTTGGACCTCAGTTTCTTCATCTCTAAAATGAGGATTTGGAATAGAATATGACTAAAATCCGTACAAATTTGAGACTCTGGATGACTTTTTCACAAGTGTACAACTAACTTCCCAGCTATGCTATGAGGGCTAAGGCCATTCAAAGGAGTTCTAGAATCTTACCTCTTCATAGATAGTGCTAATAAAGGAAGGGCTGTGGCTCCTCTTCTTGGATCCAGACTGAAATTCAGAGGGTAAAGAGTACTGAACTTCAGGTTGAGAAATGTCCCACTCCTAACTGGTGTGAGAGGTACCAAAAGAGATTCAGTGCCCACAAAGTCCTTGAAGTGTCCCCAACCAGAAGTGAATAGCATCTCCTACCCCAGGAGTGAACAATGGTGTTTGTGGTTTCCAGAGAAGGCGTAACATGTACTTGTCTATGATACGACATTTCTGAACCAAATTCAGAGTTTAGCATCCCACAGGCACACACCCCTCAGACCACACATACATATATTCCTGGCGCATGTGCGCACACACACACACACAGCCTTCAGACAAACCTAATGCAAACACAGGCTCTAATCATGTACTTGCTCAATGTATAGCACAGGCACACACCGTGGTGGAGCTCAGAAGCACTTCCAGTAGTCTGAACAGTGTTCCAAATACAAAACCAAAGCCTGTGGCCCTGATGCCTGGACCATCTCTATGACATGTGTCATTGCATATAATTCAAATATAAATATTGCTCATGGTAGAATCCAAGTTGATTGGATGACTTACTGGAATAAGGGTGAATGAAAAGTCTGAAAATGTGTCCTAAACTTCACCCCCATTTGACACAAACACATGATCCCTGACCTGCTTGAACTCCATACCTCACAGTGTGACAGACCCTTAGCCTCTCATGTCACCATACTAAGCTTGTGGATCTGTACTGTGACTCCAGCCTTAGGAATATCACTTTTAATTAAAATATATATATATATATATATATATCTTTATTGATTTCAGAGAGAGGAATGGAGAGGGAGAGGAAGAGATAGAAACATCAAGGATGAGAGAGTCATCAATTGGCTGCCTCCTGCACGCCCCCGACTGGGGATCAAGCCTGCAACCTGGGCATGTGCCCTGACTAGGAATCGAACCACAACCTCCTGGATCCTAGGGCAATGTTCAACCACTGAGCTATGCCTGGCCAGGCAAGAATATCATTCTTTCCACCCCCTCCCACCTGAGATGAAAAGTTGACAGTGGGTACCAGGATACCCAATTCTGTGGTTCCAGGTACACATAAGAGCTGTGATCCCAGCTTGAATCAGGATTCGAGGGGACTCTGATGGGTTGCCTCAGTCCAGAGGCCTCCACCATGAGTGACTGGACGACCTTTGTCTGGTTCCCTGAAGATCAATACTGTGTCTCTCTAGATCCAGTGCAGTCCTGCAGCTCAGGCCACAAGCATTGGAAACCTCTTCTTTCTTTCACCATAGCCTCAGCTGGCCTATAAAGATTCCGTGGTCCTTCTGCACAAACCTCTTCCTCTCTGTTTGATTGTCCTCTGCTTCCCACAGAAACCCCTCAAGACACCTTTAACCCATTCTCCTGGTCTCAGAGCTGCTATTCTTCCCCAAACAGAACCAGAAAGGCATTTTCTATTTGGCCCACTAACATTGAAATACAGAGGATTAAAGATGGCAGCAGACTGAGTAGAAGCTACACTGACACTCTCCTAGGACCAAACTGGAATTACAACTAAAATATTTTTTAAAATCCTGAATAATCAACTGAAGACTACCTAGAGAGCACCCTCATAACCAAGGAGGAAAAGTGGAGACCACACAGAGACTGGTAGGAAATGCAGAGGCGTGAGAGGGCTGGCTGGGCTCCCACAGGCCGCAGCTGAAGGTCTGGAGGGATATCTCAGCTGTGGGAGGTTCCCACTGAGGACTCTGGGGCCTAAACCCCAGGCTGGGCTTCCCAGCTAAGAGCGCCAGAGCTGAGAAAGGTGCCCACATAACATCTGGCTGTAAAAGCAGCTGGGTTACTGTCTGCCAGGGAGAGACAGCTGGGAATGCAGGCCCCCTCTTAAAGAGCCAACACACAGTTTCATGTGCAGCCATTCACCTTGGGCTCTGTCAGAGGGAGGGCAACGTGAACTGGAGCTGTGTGAGGAGAACCTAGGGTTGTGGGATCTGGAGATAGAGCTCAGAGGGCACCATCTGGATTCCTGTGCCAAGTCGTTTCCCCGTACTGCAGAGGACATCTTTCTCAGGCACACATTTACCTTCCAAGAAGCTTTTGCATGAGGGGGACACAATTGCCCCATCCTGCTGGAAAACCTCTCACCCTACCCAGAGGAGTTTCTACAGCCTGAAGCTCGTTAAGAGAATCAGGTTAACAAGCCTATAGGCAGATGCAGACCTCACAGTGCTTTGAGTCTCTGCCTGATCTGCTTCTGGACCTGGGCCTTGGAAAAGCACTTTGGTGTGCATCTTGGTCATGTCCAAATGCATCAAGCCCTAACAGAGGGGACTTCAAGCTGTGTGTTGTTGATAGCTCCAAACAGAGTACTGAAGACCAGTCACAAACAGCATCTGACATTTGCCTGCACCAGAGACCTTCCAAATAGACTAAGAGTCCTAGCAGATCTAGCTAATACATAGAAACAAACCCAAATAGGCAGCCAAAATGGGGAGACAAAAAAACAAGCCCCAAATGAAAGAAAAAGAGAAGTCTCCAGAAAAAGAGCTAAGTAAAATGGAGATAAGCAATCTATCAGATATAGAGCTCATAATACTGATTGTAAGGATACTCATCAGCATGAAAAAAGATATGGAAACTATGAAGGAAATTTAAAATGACATAGCAGAAATAAAGAATACAGTGGAAGGAATAACAGTAGATCAGAGGACGCTGAGGATCAGATCAGTGAATTAGAAGAGAAGGTAGAAAAAAAATCACTCAGAGATCCAAAAAGAAAAAACAATCAAAAAACAGGAGGACAGTCTAAGGGAGCTGTGGCACAACATGAAACATAACAATAGTCTCATCATAGGAGTGCCAGAGGAGGTCGAAAGTAAGCAAGGGTTAGAGAACCTGTTTGAAGAAATAATGGCAGAAAACTTCCCTAACCTGGTCAAGGAAAAAGTGACGCAAGTTCAGGAGGCACAGAGTCTGAAGCATGAAGAACCTAAAGAGGCCCACACCCAGACACATCATAATTAAAATGCCAAGAACTGAAGACAAAGAATATTAAAGGCAGCAAGTGAAAAAGCAATCTGTTACCTACAAAGGAGCTCCCATAAGGCTGTCAGCTGACTTCTCATCAGAAACTCTACAGGCCAGAAGGGAATGGCATGAAGTATTCCAGGTAATGCAAAGCAAGGAACTAAAACCAAGACTACTCTATCCAGCAAGGTTATCATTCAAAATAGATGGTGAAATAAAGAGCTTCCCAGGCAAAAAAAGCCTAAAGAAGTTTATCACCACCAAACCAGCATTGCAGGAAATGTTAAAGGGACTGTTGTAATTAGAAGTAGAAATAGAAGAAGTACTACAGGAAATGTTAAAGGGACAGCTGTAATTAGAAGTAGAAATAGAAGAAGTATTGCAGGAAATGTTAAAGGAACTGCTGTAATAATAAGAAGAAATAGAGAGAGAAACATAGGCATAAAGTATTAAAATGGCAGAGTACGGAAGAAACAAGATGGTGGCTTAGGTAACAGCTGTACCCGCCATCTCCCACAACCACATCAAAATTACAACTAAAATACAGAACAACCATCACCGAGAACCTCCTGAAATCTTGCTGAACAGAAGCCCATACCAGGGAAATGAAGAATAACCGAGATCAGTAGGAGGGGCAGAGATGCTGGCGGATCAGGGCCAAATCTCAGAGACGCAGCCGCGGACCCACACCCAGTGCAGCAGTTTAAACCCAGGAGGGACATCTCAGTGGGGGAGGTTTCCCGGAGTGAGGGAAAACTCCCACATCCGGTTTCCAGCCCAGGGCACCAGGGCCAGGAAGAGAAGTCCCCAAAACTTCGAGCTGTGAAAACCAGCGGGAACTGTGGTGGAGGGTCATGGAGGCTGCGGGAGTCCCAGGCTTTCCTCTTAAAGGGCCCGTGCACAGACTCACCCGGACTCGCTCCCTCTGAGCCCCAGAGCTGAGCAGCAGCTTAAAAGGAACCTGGGACACTTGGGAAGGAACTAACCTGCCTGAAATCGGGGCAAGAGGTGGAGGGGCGGCTTCCTCCCAGGCAGAAGGGCTGGCAGAGGCCATGGCTCCTTTGGCGAGCCCTCCCCGCACACAGGCAGCAGGCAGGTGCCATATTTTAATCACCAGCACCTCACTCACATCTTTGGCCCCTCTCCGGTGATTACCGGAGGCCCCACCCCTCCCTACTTGCAAGCTCATCCAAGCCATTTCCAGGAGCTTTTCTGTGCAAGTGGCCTCTTGAGCCTCATGCTTAGGACTTTCCTAAAATGTCTCAAACAAGCAGAAACGTGCCCCATATGGCTTGATAAGTGGCCCCAGGCCTGGCACTAGCGGCAGCTGCATTGGCTTATAGCTTGGCCTCTTCTGGACACCTCCAAGCCAAGCACAAGTAGCAGCCAACTACGGTTTGCTGTGTAGCTCATGCTGGGTGGCCCTGGGCAAGGCACTGGCACAGGCTGACTTTGCACCTCCTGGGAGGCCCCAGAGACAGTGCACCTGGTGGTCAAACTTGACCATGCTTGATTACAACCCTACCACATCCAAGAGTGACACTCANCTTGACCATGCTTGATTACAACCCTACCACATCCAAGAGTGACACTCAAGGGCGCACTTGGTGAACACCAAAGCTCCGCTGAAGTAAATCCTGCTCCATAGGGGTTTCTCCAGCACAGCAGCTCTTTGGCTGTAGTTGCAGCTAGTCCTCACAGCTGATTTTCCAGGGGGTCAATTCCTCCAGGGACACCAACAGCAACCAAGGCTCAACTACAACAGGACAGTGCACACAGCCCACACAGGGGAGCACCTAGAAGGCCCAGCTCAGGTGACTGAGGAGGCTGAGCCACTGGACCCTATAGGACACCTACTACACAAAGCGACTCTACAAATTCCAGGAGACACAGCAGCTCTACCTAATACATAGAAACAAACACCCGGAAGCAGCCAAAATGTGGAGGCAAAGAAACATGTCACAAAGGAAAGAACAGAAGAAATCTCTAGAAGAGGAACTAAACGAAATAGATCCAAGCAAGCTAGCAGATACAGAGTTCAGAATTTTGTTTATAAGG